CAGCGTGCAGCAGCAGCAGCAGCAGCAGCGTGCTCCAAAATCTGAAATGTTCTAATAAAGCAAAGCAATGCAAACATCTCTAAAAAGCAGAGAAAACCACAGAAAAAGCTTCTGCTCAATAGTCTCGCCCCCCTCGCGTGGCCAACCGTTACTATGAGGACTGGATATCAGTGACTCTTTTAATTAACCTGATGTGAGAAGCTCCTGTATCGGTGTCTCAGACACTTTGTCCTTTTGCTAAGCGGTAGCAGTGGCTCAAGCTTACAGAGTGAAAGTAATTGAGCTGAATAAGCCTAATGCCCCACGCAGTTATTTTAATGAGAAGTGGCACGGGGCGCTCAGCGGGTGTTCTGCTTAAATCCCAGTGTCCATTGTGCGGACTTCAATCTCGTGGCCTGCGCGAAACCTCGGCCATTACGCAAAAAACTCCATTGTATCATTACGCCCGCTGCATTCATCTAAAAGCCACTGATGATATTCCCATTATCACTAACATGCATTAATTTCTGTTAAGCAAACAGGTCATCGAGTGCTGACAGAAAAAGAAAAACGCTGCTAAGGATAAAAAAATAACCAGCATCATCTTAGCAGTGATAATGAGCCACTTAAGCAACATGCAATGACTCATCTTCAAAATAGAGAAAGGTTGCTGTTGAACTGCAGCTTGATGACTTAAATGGATCATCGAGAGAGAACTCGGCACAGAGAGAAAAAGAAGTTAACAAAGGGTTGGAGCAGGTGGAGCAAATGGATGTTTGACAGGGTGCTATGAGGCACTGCGTGGCACAGTCAGCACGGAGGTCCGCGGTACCTTCAGGTCGCTCCCGTTCAGGCGCATTCTGTTGATCTTTCGACCACTCGGCCTGGTTGAGTCCACCCAGTAGATAAATTCTTTCTTGTAATCAAAATCCAGATGGATGATGTTGTAGAGGCCCTGAGAATCACACAAAGACAGGAAATGCTGAGATTTAGTTTACCGAGAACGGCTAATGACACCGGCCGAGGTGAAACATCAGCTTGAAATGCTCGATTTCTCCAGCATCTTTGTGCGATGTGATTTTGACTGTGATATCGATTTATGTTCCCATAGGTTCCAGTACTTTCAACCACACAAAGCTTTGGATAAGTGAGTCGAGACCACGTTGCAGTCTATCAAAACAGAAGATGGAAGTGCTCTCCTCCTCTGTCATGCTCACAGGACCCCTCTGTCAGTCACACAGAGCTGCTCACCAAACAAGTGCCCCCGCCCCGCTGTCTCACACTGTGGGTGCTGAGAAAAGATGTCAGACAATCTGACAGGAGAAACGAGACATCTTCATCAGACCATCAACACCCTCACAGACAGGTGCCAAAGCGTCCTGGGGGGACCTTTCTCACTCTAAACACCAGCTATAGAGATGAAGCCTGCATGCCCCTTTATCAGCGCTTCCACCGCCGCTGCATTTTCCATTCGTTTCCCTGCAGACGCTGCAGAATCCAGCACTCGTAATGGATTCTTCGAACGTGAAATAAAACTTTTAAAAATAACTCTTTCATTCTGTTCCATGATTGTTGATGAATTTGAGGGAAAACATAACTGAAAGCTAATGAACAATATGACCGTATAAAACTCATATTTTCTTTTTGTTTTTATTTCAGTCAGATTAGATTTTTATGTGAATCTGCTTAAATCTCGTCTGAGCAAAATTATGTTGCATCAATTTTGCAGCAAATCAAGTATTTTCACAGAGCTCAGAGGTTTAGTGTTAACCACAGTTTGTTGTTTTGGTTTGTGAGCTTGAATAGTTTTATGTGTGTTGTGAGAGCAGACTTGCATACAGTTAAACATGTATGGATTATATATTCTGAATACTGTTTGGTAAATAAGGGGATTTGATATAATGTGGAAAGAATCCTGCTGCTTTTCCAGTACAAACATTGTGTAGACACGCAGATATTCATGAAAACTTTTCTTATTTCAGATATATTTAGATTTTCAAAATAAAGATCAGTCTGATTACTTATGAGATAATGCTTCTGGGGTTATTATTAGTCAGTCCAACACAAATGAACATGATGCCACAGGCGAAGCAAAACTAAACACACTGAACATGGAAACACAAGACTTTCAAAATAAAACAGGAAACATGAAGAGACGTAAACTGGGACATGCAAGCTTGACACAAGAGACAGAGAGAGGACGAAGGACACAGAGAAGACACAAGGGGAACCTACAAAGACAAGGAGACACTAGACGAACACTAAACCCAGACCAGGCCCCCTGACTCTCTCTCTGCAGACATATCTCCTCTGCCAAGGACAAAAACAGGTAGTGTGTAAATATAAGAAATTAGTGTT